GGAGATCCATATGCAGGCGATGAGTTCTGTAGATGACATCGCTGATTGGCGTTCCAGTGGTATCTTTGCTTATCAGATCTGTGTCGAGGGTGCCAAGGTCGCTATCTAGTCAAATTTAGTTCCCTGTATCTAAACGACCCTACCTACATATCTCAAAACCATTTGCACTACCCGGCGTGGATTAATCCATTGATTTTGGTCTGATGTCACCTGTATAATTATCAAGCCACAAAAATAAGGTTCAAGTTCAAGTCAGCGCACAGTTGAGGCTTGCCTTGTAAAAAACCCCATCGTCCGTCCAAAATGCCTAAGGTGTCACTCAAGCCCAAAACTTACAAGCCCATCATTGTCGACACCGGCAACAATCTTGGCAAAAGGTGCCGTGAGGTATGATCTCATGTAATTTCAAATGGTGGGGGGACCCTGACAAGAGATCGATCGTTCAGATTGCTGCCCAAGCCAAGTTAGATGACATTGCTGCCGCAAAACGGCTCCGCAAGCGGGAGCAAAACGCGGTGTTGAAGCAACTCTTGCCCAGCTTCGTTTCTGCGTCCAAGGAGGGCCAGGTGACCGCTTATATGTCTCGCGCATCTCTGGTGTGGTTCCTCCGTTTTCCCGACCTGACAGAGGAGGAGGTGTTTGTCCATGAAAACTTCAAGGATGACCCAGCCTACGAAGAATATATTCGAGACGCACGCCGAAAGGTAAGTACACTTATGTATTATAGATTGCGCACACTGACTGAAACACTTCGAAGTGGATGCGCAAGAAGCTCTCTTGGATGTGTGGGAGCTTCGCAACTACCGAGGATGGACCAAAGCCCGAGAAACCCATTTGGGTGTTAGAGTTGAACTTGGCAGCGCAGGAAATTTTGAGCAAGTTGGAAACACCTTGGAAATGGGACCCTGAGGCGTTGGCGGCGTTGGAGGCCATAGAGAAGTGCTTGGCTCCATGCGAGAGGTAGAGAAGGGTAACTTTAAGGTCTATAGCCTTACAAACTGTTTGTAATGTACATTAGAAACCGTTTGTAACGAAACTTATTCTTATAACTTGAATTAGATCTCGATTGATCTAGATGTGACCAATTCTATTGTCCCTTGTTGATGTCACTTTTCTTTTCTCAGGTCCGACCGTCCAATGAAGAGAAAGGGGAAGGCCAAGGAGAAACGTTATGTCGTCGTGCGTGGCTCTGACGACGACGAGCGCCAGGACGTTTCTATCCCGCAATCTCGGACCATCCACTTTTCCAACAAAGGACTTCACATCCTTCAAACCCCTCTTTCCCCGCAAAAAGCTGCATCTGCCTCTCGTCGCAGTCCGTCGCCTCAGTATGAGTGGAATCCAAGTACCGAGTACGACAACATAGAAGAGCCACTCCACGAATTGGAAGGGGAACTACTGGACCAAATTTCAACTGTAGCTGAGAAGGTTGCAGCTAAACGCTATCCAACCTCGGTAAGTTTGGACCATTGCAGGTCTGTCAAATATCTCATGCCGTTTAGGACGCCCCTTTGCGTGAATGGGCAGGAGCTACACTTCAAGAGCCTGGCTGCCGAGAAGAATATCTCATGGAAATGTTGAGGTTAGAGGGACGGGGAGACAGGTCGACGGAAGACCAGTGCATATCTTGCCTCGCTGGGGGTGGCATCTACCGTTGCGAAGATTGTATGGGCCGCTTGATGGAGTGCCTTGGTTGCTGCTTGAACCGCCATGAGCAGCTCCCTTTGCATATCATCCAGGCTGGTTTCTATCACTCCTCCTCTACTCGTTCTGATTAGTTGTCAATAGAAGTGGAATGACGTCTTTTTTGAAAAGATTTCTCTCAGAACGATGGGGCTACGAGTCCAGCTTGGCCACGTCAATTCACCTTGCTTATTACCTCAGCCTGGCCACAAGGACTTCACGGTCCTTCATACCAATGGCCTTCATTACGTGGCCGTGGATTTTTGTGGCTGCGATCAACGAGTTATGAGTCCTTACGAGTTTACGAGTAAGACTCATTCTTTATCAACTGAGGACTTAGACAAATTTTTCATTGATTCATTGATTTACCTTTCATCACCGCGGGAACCTTTTCTCTTAAGGAGAGAAGCAGCCATAAAATCAGGAAAAATGGCAAATAAATTGGCCAAAAATGTGTAGAAAATCAGAATATTGCTTAGTAAGTTGGAGAGGCTGTGTTCAGGGTTCAGGGTCCATATCCAAATATAGAAAGCTGTCTGAAAAATGGAAACAGATAGGTTGAGAAGCAGTGCAAAATAAGTGAAAAATAAGCATGGTATTCACCATTGCCATGATCATGAATGGGCTGTGTTCAGGGTTCAGGGTCCATCTCTAAAAATAGAACAAAGCCAGATAGATTGTATAACATGATTACAAAATATGCCAAAAAAGGGAAGAAAAATCGGAATGATATTTGCTGTTGTCATGATACTGAAGGGGCTGTGTTCAGGGTCCATATCTAAATATAGACAGAAAAAAAAACAACTCAGAGAAAACAGCTGGAAAATGAGGAAAAAGTGAAGAAACTTGTACACAATAATTTAGCTATATTTGGGCAGATTCCCATATTTGGAAGTGTATCCTGGACCCTGAATACAGCCTCTCCAATAGTATAGCAACATTAAATATCAGAAATGTGATTATATCATCTGACTAGCCTTCTTTCTTATGCAGATATTGGTCAAAATACATGACTATTTTCAAAAAGTGTCCAATTTTTTCAGTATTTTGTGTTTTTCTCAATAAGGAATGATCTGTGTGACATTATTTATATATATTTGTA